GTTGGAGGACTGTATTTCCATTAGGGACCATAAGTAAGACTGATGGGTGATACCAACCCAAGAAAATTTGTATACCTCCTAGATCTGGACATCTTTCTAAACACCATGTACAGGATTTCTCTTCTCTGTTATCATGAAATCTTTACTCTTCTTTCCATTTTCAGGTACCACTATTCTATTTAAAGGTGGCAAAATAATGGAAGTTTAATTTGTGACTTCACAATTAGTAGCTGTCATGGGAAGCTAGATCAATGGGCAGTTATAGTTATGCTCAAATTCCTACATATTAGAATTATTTTAGTTACCTGTATAACAAAAAGAAGCCTTTAATCAAGTAGATTACCTTATAATTCTTTTATAACCAGGGAATATTATACATTTAGTCATTCTAAAACCCTTAAACATTTGTAGTAGTGTGTGTGTGTGTGTGTGTGTGTGTGTGTGTGTGTGTGTGTGTGTGTGTATGTAAAGCTTGGAATTGATTGAAATCATGATCTGATACATGTTTATCTGGTGTTCTACTGATGTTGTCCACCCTTAGCCTTAAACACCAGGTTGTGTTTCTTCAATTTTGGTTCTTTTTAATAACTGTTTAAATTCATGAACAATCTTAGCAAAACCTTTCCCTTAATATGTCTTTATTTATGTGCTGTCATCATGTCATCAATACTTTTAGATGTCATCTACATGGTCTGTGCAGCTTAGATTAGCTCTGCTGTTGACAGCATTTCTAATATGGGTTATGTATAATCCAATGTAGTAGGTCTTTCTTTTCAGACTTTCTATAGGATTGCTGGATTTTGTAGGAGACATAACATCTTTCCCTTTTATATTTTTATCTGTTTATGTAATGGTACATTGTCATATGGACTTCTTTAACTGGTTGTATGCCTGATGTGAGATTATAGGCTGCTTCCACTGAGTGGAACTTTGCCCTTTGTTGCTGTCTAAACTTGATTAATTTTAGATCATGTATAAGGAATTGGTTATTCCATTCTTCAGATGATTGGCATAGAGTTTGGATTAGAGGAATGGGACAAATAGCTGGATATGCTCGGGTTGATGTGCAAACTTTGCTAAGTGAGTTTTGCCTGGTAGAATGAGGATGGCATGGATAGACTAGGTTCTTGGGGTCTTGCTTGGCAAGATGGGCATGCATGCCATGCATGAGGCTGTGTCTGAGGGCTAGGAGCATAGGCAGGTAAGTTTCCATGAACAGCACATAGATATGTCTCCCTGGTGAGTCTTTGAATTTGACTGTGGAACAGTCTCTCTATACTGGTCAAACTCACAACATGTTCGATATTAGAATAGCCTAAAGAGTTAGCAAGGCACAGGTAAGCTCAGGTCTGGCAGAGTCAGCAGGCTGCATTGGCACACATTCATTAATTATTATCATTAAAATGGAGAGCAGTTTATTGGGGGCTGAAATTAAAAGGCTTTCCTTTGGAAAAGACTAATTGTAATAGCCTGAACAACACTTATCTGTTCAACATGTAGCAACATCCATGCAATATGCACCTGAATAGAAAGATTACTCTGTTCCAAGATACAATGTGATACAAAATGGATTGCTTTGTTGAATGATTCAGTGAAGTTTTGGGGACATGATGTTTCATTTAGATTATTTCATTTGAAAAATGAAATAATGGTTTCAAAATTCTATGTGGATATCTGTTACTTGTCATGCCGAGGCAGGAGATTGTCACAATCTGGGTCTGACCTGGGTTATGTAGTATGATCTAGGTAACCTTGGGCTACATTTCTCACAATAACAAATCCTGTAAGATTTTAATAAGCAAGAGTTGTTAATAATCTTGCTTGAAATTCTAAAATGCTTAACAAAGTTTGGTCATATCTATTATGACTACATCAATGATATTACCAGAGTTATATACCAATTAATGTATTTAGTTTATTTTGTGATGATGTAATACGCAGACCCCTCTGTTTTGCTATAGGGAATGCTACAGTGTATACATTATCCCCACACAAGCCACTTCTGTGTGGTCAGCCTACTCTCAGGGAATTCAAATCCCAGCTCCCCAATCAAAACATGGCTTACTTCTCACTCAGAAGCCACACAACAAGAACTTCAAGGAGACTGCATATGTTCCATATTTTCTATCTTGCTTCCAAAATGCATTGCTCAGTTGTAGCTGATCTGAAGGAGTTGCTGGAATTGAGGCATCTTTTGTTGTGAATATAGATGTATTATTAATACCATAAGCAAGTGCTTATCATCCTGAGTGAAGGGAAGGGGCCCCTTATCCTGCTGAACCTACAGGATAAACTGTGCTTTGTAGGATAAATCAGGTATGATCTGATGTGGTGATTAATGAGGGCACGAGGGAAGATTGGGTCCTGCAGAAATGCATGGGTTGATTCACCATTTTCTGGATATGCTGTGTTAAGTCCCAGTCCTGGTCTGCATGTAAACCCTTTACCTACTGCCTATGTATCATGTCCTGAGGAAGTTGGCTGATTCTGAATGGAGCAGTCATCTTCTCTGAAGAAAGCATGAAGCCTATGGGGAGAGAGATTTCAATTGTATACTTATTTGGAGGAAAACGTTGAAATCTTTGGAATTATTAGGGTAAAGAGTTTTTGTGAAAGTAATGAAATTAGGGGAAAGACAGGAAATAGACTAAGTTGTGTAAATACAAGTAACTCACAGGAAATAGTGAATAAAGATCAGAGTTTTCATGATTTTCTTTAATATGGGATGTGACAAACCACATTTGCATACTCAAAAACAAAGAAATTACTGTTGAGTTAGGACTAAACATGTGGAGAATCTAGAGACAGGGAATTCACTTTATAATACAAAATCTTTAATTTCTCTGTTATGCAAAATGTGAATTATATGGTACAATAGACTAGAATGACAACAATCGGGAAACTACAAAAGTATACAAGCTAATGCAAGTGTTCAGAGGAGCAAGCAATTCTAATAGGTGCTGGTAGTCTCTTTCTTCTTTTCTTTCAACCAAGTTTGCTGTATGAGGAAATACTTCAAAGATACTGTAACTTGGAGTTACCAGGTTCTCTCATCAGTGAGACAGGCAGGTAATTAATATAAAAAAGATTTTTAATTTATTTAAAAAGAAATAGGTGTTTCTGTTGACAACCTGGGACAGGTGCTATCATTGAGAATGTATTCATTTGACTGCGAGTAGACACACAGTTTTGTGCTCCTATAATCCATCCATTTTAATCTGTTCATAATAATGTGCTGAAACCTAGTATAAGGGAAGTGAGGAAGGTAGGCTGTTTTAGTTTCCACCCTCCTGGACTATAACTGCAGAGCAGCATCAGTTAGTTACATTCTGTTGGGTTCAGAAAGAATGAGAAACACAGGATTACATGTGTGGAGTTCAATTTGTGTAAAACCTCGTTAAATATAAATACATGTGAGGAGTGTACCTTTATAATCACCATTTCTACACATAGAACATAGAATCTCTGAGGACATACTACATGAACACCATTCCAGAGGCAGAACTTGTGGAAATATGATTTGTGTATAGGTGTGTAGAAGAGGATAGAGGCAAGAAAATTGGAGATTTTCCAACTGCAAAATGGGCACAATTATGAAGCCATGAGCTCTAGAGTTATAAATGCTCATTCATGGGATTGTTGCGGGAAAGATATTGGAGAAAAGTTAGTCTAATAACTCACTACCTGGCATTATGCATTTGAGGACACCGTGAGATGAATGATTCATTAAATCTGCTGACAATAAAAAGTATAGATACATGATCACTCTTCAGTGACTGCATGTAGCAAGACTCTAGTTATGAGAGTGTTAAAAGGACACACACACCCACAAAGAGAGAGAGAGAGAGAGAGAGAGAGAGAGAGAGAGAGAGAGAGAGAGAGAGAGAGAACAAAATTAATTTGTGAACAGCTCACTGGCTTACTCCACCCAATATATTGAATTCTTTCTCCTCTAAGCATCACTCAAACTCCCTTAATTAGACAGGGAGTGATAATGCTTAAGTTATTGTGGCAGCATTAAATCTTTCTATCTTCATCCATAGTCTCCAAGGCTCTCCCACTGTCTACCTTTTCCTCAAAGTGTATTTAGTGGCACATTGTTCAGTAATGAGCTATATATAACCTGAATCACCAAGTGGGTAAGAACAATGAATCATGTATGGGGATTCCAATGTAGAAATCTTCTAAGCCACTTGCTCAGGCCAGCTGTGTTAACATTGACTATGTCAGTTAAAGAGCCTTAAAAACCTATCATGTAAAAATTTGAAGATATAGAGAATCTTGTCTCCATCTCTGCCCCTCTCTCTGTCTCTCTCTCTGTCTCTGTCTCTGTCTCTCTCTCTTTGTCTCTCTCTCTCTCAGACACACACACACACACACACACACACACACACACTTATGTTTAGCTAGAGTTGTTTGAAAAAAGTATTAATGTTTGGAAAACTAATGGAGGGAAAGTTCCCTTCCTTGTATTAAACTCGGCATAAAATCAGCTACACCTGATTTATCCTTTGTTCCTTTCTTTTGTAGCTGGAGCCTACTTTTTTCCCTAAAGATGTTAGGGTTGTACAGGATGCAAAAGAACAGGAAAGTCTGGGTTTCAGTTAATTAATGAATAATTTTGCAATGCCCAGGTTCTAGGGAGAACTCCAGCAGAGAACCCTGCTCACAGGAATCCCCAGTGGAGCTTATAAGTGGTGTGCAGATGTAAAATGTGTATTTGAGAAATGACTGGACTTCAGTAAAGCATATACAAATAATTTCAGTTATGAAATCTAAAATATAAAAGGCTCCATTCCACATTAAATATTATAATTTGTTGAAACAGATAAAAATATACCTTGTGTTATATATACATTCAGAGACCCTCTATGAGACACTTAATGGTGAATACAAATTATATAGCAGATCACTTTATTATGTAAACATATATAAGTGAGTCCAAGATTTTGTGACATTTTCCTAATGAAATAACCATCTTTTTGTAGGTAAAATAAGAGGAGACATGATGGGACATGAGAACCACACTTTAAGCAGTGACTTTATCCTTTTAGGACTGTTCTCTTCTTCCCACACAAGCCTGGTGTCTTTCTCATTTATATTTTTCATCTTTATTATGACTATAACAGAAAATGCTCTCATGATCCTCCTAACCCACAGGGATTCTCGACTCCATACGCCAATGTATTTTCTGCTCAGCCATCTCTCCTTCATGGATATCTTGCACATTTCCAACATTGTGCCTAAAATGATTGCTGACTATTTGTCAGGCAGCAGGACTATTTCCTTTGCGGGCTGTGGTTTCCAGGTATTTCTATCCCTCACCTTGCTGGGTGGTGAGTGCCTTCTCCTGGCAGCCATGTCCTATGATCGATATGTGGCCATCTGCCACCCACTTCGCTACCCTGTGCTGATGAGGGACAACTCCAGTGGGCTCATGGCTGCAGGTTCCTGGCTTGTGGGGATCCTTAACTCCATAGTTCACACGTCTTTTGCACTCCACTTTCCTTTCTGTCACTCGAGGGCCATTGATCACTTTTTCTGTGAAGTCCCTGCCATGTTGAAGTTGTCTTGTGTAGACACATCACGCTATGAGCGAGGAGTCTATGTGAGTGGCATTATTTTCCTACTGATCCCGTTTTCCATGATCTCTGTATCTTATGTGCAAATTCTCCTCACTGTCTTCCAAATGCAATCAGGGGCCCGGCAGAAGTCTCTGTCCACTTGCTCTTTCCACATGGTAGTGGTCATAATGTACTATGGGCCATTCATCTTCACATATATGAGACCTCGCTCATACCATACTCCAGGCCAGGACAAGTTCCTGGCGATATTCTACACCATCTTGACACCCACCCTCAACCCTATAATCTACAGCTTTAGGAATAAAGATGTACTGATGGCTGTGAAAAACATCCTCCAAAATAATTTTCTGAGTAAAAAATGAATTGAAAAAGCCTGCATATTTTTGTGGCTTTTCTAAACTCACTTTAGAGCATGGTTCACACATTTACTTGAGTATGATGTGTGATTGTACAGAGGTACATATCTATATCCACATTTGGATGCCCCATGGTAAAGTTATGCTCTGCTGTCCTACAGTAACAATAAAATATCTAAGATGACTTTGAAAAAGCTGTTAATGTGTATATACGTTTAATACATATTATAGAATTATGTGTGCAAACTATTCTAGCAATTCTCTGAAACAGTGCAAAGGAACAAATATTCCTATTAAAATGGATTTATTCATTTTACAAGTAGCAATGCAGTAGACACAATATTTAATTGGGAAACTTTAACCATATCAAATCCAATATATTGAATAATTGTTGTTGCATGAATAATGTACAATAAGTAATTTAAAAGAAATTCCTCCTTCATGTTATTTACTTTTTTTGTGAAGACCTCAGTGTAGGATTTTGAGCTTCATGATTCTGTTGATTTCATACTGCTTTTGGGTTTATTTTAATTACCTTTGTCACTTTGTAGAACTTTCAACTCTCATACTCTGTCATTGGAGTGCAAAATGTTTTTCAATGATAATAAATTATTGCAGTTTGTGCTATTGATTTTCGTTAATGAAAGATGTGTTACTCTCTCTCTTTATAGGTTATTGTCTGATTTTTATTAATGAACACTCTATATGAAGGTTCTCAGGACACATAATAGTTATGGAAGCATATGTTATAATTATATTATTGTCAATATGATCACAGGGATGTGATTATAAATAAGTTGGGTTTTCTGTAATAACACTGAAAAACAGTCCATTTTTTATTAACAACTATTTGCTTAAAAATCAAAACAAATAACCAAACATTTTAGCATATAACAGTTAATGCAAGAACAGCCAGGCATTTGAAAGAGAGCAAGGGGGAGTATATAAGAGAATTTGGAAAGAGGAAAGGGAAGGGGAAAATGATGTAATTATATTACAATCTGTAAAAGGAAATAGCTTTAAATTAAGTACAAGTTATTTTTGTGAATTTGACTATGGTATATTGTGCATAGACTGTAAATATAACACAAAATATTTTGAAAAAAATTCTGGAATATACTTGGAACATTAAATGCCCTATAAACTTATCTTCTTATAATTGAACTTTAAAAGATTGGTGATATAAACATAAAAGAAATAATTCTGCTTTTAATAAAATTTTATCATCTCAATGCAGAATTTTAAACTTTTTTCCTTGTAGCTTTTTGTAATTATGCTAAAGATTGTTATTTTAATAGAGAGTATATAAAACTTATAATCATAACAGTAAATATACTATTGATAGGAGAAATTAAAAGTTAAATGGAAGCCCTAAGGTGTGTATATATATGTACATATATTTATATATACAGTAAATATATCTATTTGTGAATTTGACTATAATATCTTATTCATAGATTGGAATCAGCACAAAGTATTTAGAAAGAATATTCTGGAACATGTACATACATATTTAGATGTATAAACCTTTTTCTTTTTGTAATTAAAAAATCATGCCATATATGTTGATCACATTTTCCTCGCTAACTCTTCCTAGATCCTCTTCAACTCCCTACTCACCTTCATGTTCTATCTCTCTCAAAAATATAAAACCAGAGACCAATGTCAAAACAAACAAAATACAAATATTTTAATGTCTCTTGTGAATGAAAATTTCCAGAAAGAAGATCATCCTGAACAGGATGATTGATCAGAATTTCAATGATTCTGCTGTCATTTGACTGTTCCAGCCCTAGAGGCTAATAAAAAATTCTCTTGGGTCATCTCTAGCTTTGCCTCTGTTTTCACTGATATACTTGAAAAGTATGCTGATTTATTATTTTCTTTGTTCTGTTGCTCCAAAAACTTCATGGAATTGTTATCTCATTGGAACATAGAATTTGGGGCAACCTAAATCTATATTCTCAGGCTATAGATACTCATTTGCATGTGTATATAAGTATTGTTTACATGTTCTTGTGTCTTTATATCATTTATCTGATATCAGATGGGTTTACAAGTAAGTGCTCATGCCAATTTTAATCGCTTAATTTTGCCTCAGCTCACATCGTAACTTGAGTTTTAATGGAAAAATATCTCAGATCCCTCATTTATGATGTATAGTGTTCTGCCTGCATTTATGCCTGGAAGCCAGAAGAGGGCACCAGATCTCACTATCAATAGCTGTGAGCCACCATGTAGTTATTGGGAATTGAACTCACAACCTCTGGAACAGTAGCCAGTGCTCTTAACCACTGAGCCATCTCTCCAGCCTGAGTTTGAAAGAGTACAAGAAGAGGAATATGTGAGAGTTTGTAGGGAGGAATGGAAGGGGGAAATTATGTAATTATATTATAATTTCAGAAAATAAAAGAAATAATGTCTTTAAAACTTCTAAAAATGATCTCAAATCCAACAACCCTAATTAATTTGGTTTTGATACCTGTCAAATAAGACCCAGTGTAATGATGAGGGGAGAATGAATATTTCATAGTGTTAGCACACTCAGGGAAAGAATGCAGGAATTTGATGAGCCTCCTTCTGTCTTTTGGGTACCCGACAAGAGCTCCAAGTTTAAACTGGATCCTTAAGACAAAGGTCAGTGTATTATCAAATCAATCCTTGTCTCAATTCTCTTTCTATAAGTTGGTCCAGGATGTTTCTCAAGGACTTCACAAGGGTACTGAATGCTCAAGAAGATGGACTGGTTTTCAACAGGTGATTACTCTAGACTGCAACTTCTCCCAATGTATAATTGCTTTAATATGGAAAAGAAATCTTCTAAGTTTCCTGTTGCAAGGATCAATAATATGACTTAGCACCAGGCTTAGACAATGATTCATATCCTCCCTCAACTCAGACCCCTTTGCCCATCATATCTAATCCCATCACTCTCTATGTAAAAATCTGTCCTATGATCCAACATGGCCAATACATCCTATGCTCAGGCCATACTTGGTGACTTTGCTGTTTTAACTCTAAACCAATGTAGTCTCCTTAATTCTCAGACTGAGCCTGGTCCCTGCAGCATGAATAATATACACCTAGAGACAGATAGGGTTCAAGCTGAAGATCAGAGGAGCAAAACGGCCAGCCTCTAGAGAGTTCTCACCTCTGTCAATGCTCAGAACAAAGGGCGCCTCAGACTATTCTGGACTTGACTGCTCCTCAGATTCACTCAGACTACCATGACTCTTTCTCCCCTCCTACCTTATATTTCTCTCTCTGCCCAACAATATTACGACTGTCTCTTACCCCCTAGTTCTGGAATTAAAGGCGTGATCTCTGTTTCTCTTTCAGAATGATTCACTCTCATGTAGCCCAGGGTGGCCTTGAACTCACAGAGATCCATCTGCGGCTGTCTCCTGAGTGCTGGAATTAAAGGCATGTAGCACCACTGCCCAGCTTATATGGCTATCTAATGTGGCTACTTGGAATCAAGATGTGTACCACAATTTCTTGGCCTCTATGGCTGGGGCTAGCTTTCAATTCTGATCTTAAAGCAAGTTTTATTAGATCATAAACAATGGGTCCCAATATCCAGTTATCTGTCCCAGTCTGAGGATCTCCACCTGTACCTTCAGAACCTTCTCTTGTGTCAAGGATATCTTTGCTTCAGTCAAGTATACCAAGTTCATATTAGACATACAATAAAAAGGGGTACACATTTCCTGAACTTATCCCAAAAGACAATATGAAATTTCAAACAGTATACCTCCCCATAATTCTAGCAATCTTATATGAATGTTGTCTGATGAAAATTGTCTACATGAACCCAGTGAAAGTTCTTAAGACAAAAATCATAAAAAGCATCAAAAGTTTCATGATGCTTAAAGAAGGCAGAATCAAACATCAATGAACTTAGAATAGTAATAAGTGTCCAGGTGTTGCCCAAGAAAACAAAATCCTATAGCTTAATTAAATAATGAGGACACTGAATTCAAGATTGATATAGGAAACTAAAACTGAATTGAAGATGGTATTGAAATAATCAATACCCCAATTCAAATATCATGGTGGAAACTTCATATAAGTAGATTGCATCAAGTAGAATATCAGGTCTTAAAGATTAAGATTCATCATTAGACCACAGAATCAAAGAATATGAAAAATAGACTATACAGGAAAGGAGTATTCAGGAATTGTGGGACACCATGAAATGAACAAATCTTTTTTTTCTTTTTCGTTTTTTTGAGACAGGGTTTCTCTGTATTGCATCGCAGCCTGTCTGTCCTGCACTCACTCTGTAGACCAGGCTGGCCTCAAACTCACAGAGATCTACCTGCCTCTGCCTCCTGAGTGCTGGGACTAAAGGCGTGTGCCACCAATGCCTGACTGAACAAATCTTTTAAATATAGGATTGGCTGAGGGAGAAGAATCCTATGTCAATCACATAGATCAGGTCCTCAGCATGATTGCAGAGGAAACTTTCCCAAATTAAGGAAATATATGCAAGAGGCACAAGGAACACCACATAGAAAAGACAACAAATTTCTCATGGCATACTAATGTTAAAACACTAAGTATAAAGAACAAAGAAAGACTCTTGAAAGCTGCACAAGGAAAAACATAAGTCACATTTAAAGAAAGCCCATCAGAATAACATCTTTATCAATGGTGACTTAAACACTAGAAGGGAGAACAATGTACGTATATACTAAAAGACCACAGGTGCCAACCTGGACTATTGTACCCAGCAAAACTATCTGCCATTGTTATGGAAGAAATAAAAACTTTCTATAATACAAACGGGTTAAAATAATTCATATTCAAAAAACCATGCCCATGTAGAATACTGCAGGCAATGCTATAGAACAGAGAGAGCAATAAGCATAGCTGAGAAACTAGAAAATAATTGAAGGTGTAATTACTGAAACAAAAAGCATATCTAAGATGAGAAACAGCAGCATAATGATGATAATCAATAGTTTTCAACACTAAGTTTTGATATTATTGCCTCTAACTTTGAATTAAATCAATAGACACATGGTAGGCAAATGAAGGAGGTAATAAAATCCATCTTTCTATTATGTATAAGAAATTCAACTTTAAAGGTAGGCCCTTCCACAAAGTCAAAGAATTTATAAAAGTATTCCAAGCAGATGGGACAAGCAATCAAGTAAGCATTCATATCCAAATAGCTGACAAAATCTGTGCCAAACTGAAACTGTTCATAAGAGATGAAGGTCATTTCATTCCAATAAATGGAACAACTAAGAGCACATTGCAAACCTAAGCCATACACACACCCAATTTTGTTGCACACAATTTTATAAAAAACATATTGCTGGAATTAAAGATACAGATTAACACCAGCTCAATAATATTAGGCTATTATGTCCCCCACTTTCTCTAGTGGACAGGTCATGCAGGTGAAAGACAAACAGAAACATAAGAATTAAATAACATTATGCACGAAATGGACTTAACAGATGTCTACAGAATATTCCACCCAAACATAAAAGAATACATAT